CAGAGGCGACTAGTTCCAACTCTCTGAAGTGGCTCTTTTGGTCTTACTCCCACACATCTGAATGACAGCTTTATTTTGCTCTACTTGGTTTTTCAGTTACAGACATTGTCTGTGGATTCCCACCACTGAGATGATGTCTTCACACCACCCACGCTCCCCACCCCACACACTCATCCTTTCTATACCCCTAAGTTCCCAGTAAATTACATCAGTCTCATGTTGATTAGATCGATATTTAACATTTACATGATTATTGTATGTAAACAGTATCTCTAGCTGAGATGCAGCTATACAACTTTTTGTCCTTCTTATAGCTCACAGTTTTTTCCCCATAGACATTTTTTCCCCAGCTGAGTAGAGGCTGTCTTACCAGCATGCATCTTGGTTTTATAGAATTACACGTTAGTCTGAACTTGAGACTTCAGCTCCATAACTTCAGGTGAATTGCACCCCCCCCAAATTCGTTTGTTTTTATTGCCGTTTATAAAATAGTTCCAAATAAGGCAACAACGTGGTAGAAAATAATTTTAGGAGCACCTACAGTTGTGGAAATGTATCAACTTTGATATTTAAAAAATGCAGATAACCACCTCTTCAACAATGTAAAGAAAGCATTTAAGACAAAGTACATAAAATATTTCTGGACTTCTGACCATTAGTGTCTTAGGGTCGAATGGTATGTATGGTTATTACAAAATCTGGTGCTTTCTAAATATCAATTTGGCCTAATGTTTACAATGGTGAAATCATTTTCAGGAAAGATATCCTACCATTGTTAAATGGTTCTCAAAGTGTGGTCCAAAAAGCATCAGTCTACCTGGACACTTGCTAGAGCTGCAAATCCAGCTCCTCCCTTAATAAGAAAGAAGTGAGAAAGAGGGAACAGTCTGTTTTAGCAAGTCTTCCAGGTGATTCTGATGCAAACTGGAATTTGAAAATCACTGTCCTAGACAAACATTGTCTAAGTTAGAGATCATGTCCAGTTGTTATTAATAGAGACCTGAGATGACAGAGGCATAAAGCACACATCAAGTTTTTTCTTCCATTAAAGAAGACTGGACATAGGCAATCCTGGATGGTTCAGGTGTCACATTTTTACTCCCTCCCTGCCATATAACTTCCATCCTTATGGTTTCAAAATGGCTACTGAAATTTCAGTGATTACAAACATTCCAGGAAGCAGAAAAAGTAATAGAGAAAAGGCAAGCTAGGTAAGTCACCTTCTAAGTGCATTCTCGGTGCCCCACCCAGTGACTTCTGTTTATAACGCGCTCTCCTACACCCGCCCCACCAGTTGAAAGGGTTGCTGGGAATTAACCATTGTTTATATTGTTGTTCAGAATAAAACCAGAGAAACCAAGGAGAATGAATACTAAAGGAACTAGCAGCCTCTAGATCCTTTCTGGAATGGAGTCAGTCATCAAAATTAAATCTCTGAGAACATTATTCTGAAATGGTTCTTTGCTAACTATGCATTAAAACATTATCTTTGATCGGCTGGAGAACAGACTCCATTCTTGCTTTGCTTGAAAATCAGAACAGCCATTTATCAGAATAAAATGTATTGCACATAAGTAGAGGCTGTGGTTCATATATGCCAACCAAGAGTCCTATATAATTCCTGGAGAGGGTGATTTGTAGCAAACGTGAAAAACAATCAATTTTTAAAAATCCATTCTTTTCAGGACCGTAATTCCTTTCTTGGAAATGCATCATAAAGAAGTAATTCAAGGAGAAGCTATATGTACAAAGCTGTTCACAGCACTGTTATTTATGACAGAAAAAAAAAGTTTCTTATGATCCAAAGGTCCAACAATAAAGGAAAGGCTGAGTGAATTATGGTATGACCATCACATAGCCATAAAGGACATGTAGTAACATGACAAAGTGATTATAAATACATTGGTAGAGGGAAGAGAATGAAAACATATGAGTATGTGGACAAGAGCATTCAGAGAACAATAATGGTTTTGTCAGATGTTAGAATTGTGAACATAAATGGCTTATGTTTTGTTTGTTTGTTTGTTTGTTTTTTGAGCTGGAGTCTCACTCTGTCACCCAGACTGGAATGCAGTGGCCGCTCCCGGCCACCGCAGCCTCGACCCGCTGGGCGCCGGCGATCCTTCTGCCTCAGCCTTCCAAGTAGCTGGAACTACAGGCGCACGCTACCACGCCCGGCTAATTTTTTTTATTTATTGCAGAGATGAGGTCTTGCCAAGTTGCCCAGGCGGGTCACGAACCCGCGGGCTCAGGCAATCCATTCACCTCAGCCTCCCAAAGCTGGGATGACAGGCTGAGCCACCGAGCCCGGTTATGGCTTGTGTTTAATTTCCTTTATTTTATTGGAAACAGCAGCAACAACAAAATATACAAGTTTCTCCAGGTTATTGACCATGATTTTTCCTCAGATTCTTTCCTGGCTCTTTGTCTTTGGCATGATTTACTGGAGGACGCTCCCAGGAGAGAGAACTTTGCTGCTCTATGCAAAGACTGTAAGGTCGGGTGAACAGTCTTCTTGTGGTTTTCACATCCCAGCACGGTTGTCACTCTGGTCACCCATCTCTGAAGTAAGGCTCAAGCTGTGTTGTGCATCATCCTAGGAATGTTTTCTTCCCAGTACTGAGAACAAATTTACAATCATCTATTTATTCTCTCTTGCCACCATTTCCTCATCATCAGTTGCATGAAACTAGAGCCAGTTGTCCCTATTTAGATGTAGATGTGCAGACACCAAAAGGAACAAAAAAAGAAAAAAAAGAACTTCCTTTGTAAGAGTCAAGTTTATCAGCCTTTACTATGACACCGTGTATGATAACGATCCTGCCCCACGTACACTGGCCCCAACAACAAAAAACCACCTCTTCCTGAAATGACTGTGGATTTGCATGGTTCTCCAGCTTGGCAAGAGCTGCAGTTAACCTTAGGTTGAGCATAATGTTAATTTTGATTATGCCGAAGACTCCCTAAATGGCCTTAGTCCATGACATGAACTGAGATGTGTGAGAGTGGCATGCACACCTCTTGCATATCTGCATATTAGGTAGGCTGGTGACTGCCATGGCTTTAGAAAGGGTCGAAGATAGTGGCCAGGGGCATTCTCAGACAGTGACACCACATACTCAGCAGAGCTGGGAAAAGTGTTATCCAGCACAAAGCAAAGCTCATCAGGAATGTCCACCAACAAAGCCTGAGAACCCTGGTAGAGCCAGGCCCCCACGTCCATGGGCTTACAACCGAGGTGGGAGTCCTTCAAAGAGAGAGAAGAGTCTTGATTTTCAGAGAATGGGGAAACTGAGACAAAGAGCTCAAGCTACCCTACTGAGAAACTAACTTTCATGAAGCAATCAAGCAAACATTAATCTAGTTAATCTTAGAGGAGAAGCCAACATGAAGGAGAATAAAGACCCAGAAGTCCTGGAAGGTTCAGACTCTGTCACATGAGGTAACTTCAGTTCATGTGCTTGTATTCTGTGTGTGACGCGCATGCCGAATTTCTTTTACACTGAAGTGAACACCGCTCTTTAACTACGGGGCTAGTACAACCAATGGAATGAATCTCTGTGGGGAAGCAACACAGTCAGAGAAAAGAAAGTTCATCAAGTCCTGGGGTTTGGTTTTTCGGAGCACGTTTTATTTTGCAATACCAGAGAATTAACATCTAGTAGCAGCATAGTACCCAAACAGAACACCGTTTGATTTAAAATTCATATAACAGGCAACGTATTTTGAAATGTAGGAAAATAAAGCAGAAGATTTAGAGACCAATTGATATAAACATATGAAAAAAATCAAAACTTTCATTATCAACACAAATAAGAATTGTCACATACATAAGGGTACATTCACTTTGTATTCCAAAGTGGATTTTCATTTTTATTTTCCATGAAAGATGTCTAAATATATATATGTGTATGTACGTTTATCTTCACATTCTGGAGGGCAAGAGAAATCTTCAAATTTAAATATATGCATTTCACCTAAGATAACCAAATATTAAAAAGAGCAGCAATACTGGTCTTTAAATATATAAAATATTACAATAGATTGTTCATACAATATAGATATATTCGGTAGCTCTTTCATTACTAATATCGAATACCCGCATACAATTTACAAACCACAAGGTTCGGGTCTCATCTCTAAATAACTTAGAGCCAATAAATACTATACAAAGAATAATTATAAAACACAGACTTCAGGACATTCTCCATACCAGAAACGGAATCATCCCAAAAGGTTTTAGGGAAGAATCTGCAGGATTCCCAAGGCAAAGGAGCATGATCTGACAAGCTCCCTGAAATGTCACAAACTGAGTCCAGAGAAATGTGTCAGCAGAGGAAAGAAGGCACTGTCCCTTCATCTTTCCAGGTTTCCCTTGAATATGGCATGAAAGTGATGAACAACTTGGGAAATTTCCCAATAAACGGGGTAGAATAATTTCTCACCAGGAGGCAAGATGCAGGATGAGGAGATTATTTATCAGCATTTATGTTAATCCTGACGACCGAAGGCATGAAAACCCAGATTTCAACAGGACCTTGTATAGTACTTAATCCTGGATGGTAGGAAGGGTATTTTTTACCTGCATTCCCAATCTTACTGCTCATCCTGTTGGCTTAAAAAAAAAACAAAAACAGCCGGGCTCGGTGACTCAGCCTGTAATCTCACGCCTTTGGGAGGCTGAGGTGAGTGGATGGCCTGAGGCCGCGGGCTCGAGACCCGCCTGGGCAGCGAGACCTCATCTCTACAATAAATCAAAAAATCAGCCGGGCGTGGTAGCGCATGCCTGTCATTCCGGCTACTCAGAAGGCTGAGGCGGAAGGGTCGCCGGAGCCCAGCGAGTCGAGGCTGCGGTGGCCGGGAGCGGCCACTGCACTCCAGTCTGGGCGACAGAGTGAGACTCCGACTCAAAAAAAAAAAAAAATCAAAAACAGAACTCTAAACATGGTGACAGGGTTTCTTCATATGTGGATTTGGTTACAGAAGTTGCTCCTACGACTGTGGCCTCTTTGTATATTTCAAAGGTTTTTCAGAAAAGGTAAAAGTTTAAGTCTTTTAATAGGGTTGGATCCTTGTTTGCCTTCTACTACTCCACTCTCTGACATTTCAATAGTTTGTCTCCATTTTCAAAACCATTTCATTTACTACTTCAACTGCTTCTCACAAAAAGTTTGTGAGGAAACCAGGATAGGCATTCAAGTGTTCACTTCAAAGACCAGGAGCACTGAAGCTCGTAGAGACCAAAATGACTTGGCTTGTTCACAGTTACACATACAATGAACTGATACAGATCTTTTGCAAAACTTAGCTCTGTACAATGATAACTTATTTTTTAAGAATGAGGCTTGGCAATAGTTGTTTCATGAAGAGTGAAGTAATTTGAGTGGGAAAAAATGGACAAAAATGAGTTCAAGAAAAGAAAGGTAGAGACAAGTGGTGCCACTTGACAGTCATGAACTGCAAAACAAGCAAAGTGCATTTCACATATAGAACACAGAAATTTAAGAAAATACTTAAGTACTTCAGTCTTCCAAATAGTCTCATTTTGGTCTTGATTTGCTACATTTTTAAGCAGTTACTTAAGTTACATTGAGGCATAAGATCACCAAGAAATTTTTACATGAGTTCCACAATTTACCAAGAGACTAGAAAAAATGTTACGGCCCCGTTTCACCCCTAGCACAATACAGTTACATTAAAATACATATACTATATATATATATCATATATATATGACTCCTTTGGTAGTTTTCTCAAGTGTGGGGTTCACAAAATATCATTAATGAATATTCTTGTTGTGTCCTTAGGAAAATTTGCATTTTCTCTCTGAGAAAGCTGAGAAGAAGACTGCAATAAACTTGGAGCTTTTAACATTTTAAATCTGGATTTTGTTTGGGCAGTTGCCAGAGAGGAAAAATTTTTAAATGACCATAATAATTTAGAAAGCTGTCATATTTCATACAACCCTTCCAAGGGAATTTAGAGACTCTTAGCTTGATAGTCCCATAAAACAAAATAATACTAATTCCATAGGAAATATTCCATCGTAAGAAACTTACCTATAATGATAACCTAGGAACTGAAGACTTTGGTTTAATGTTCTGGTGTGTGACACTCGGAGCTGTTAATTAGTCCTTATTTTTCATCAATAAAGGTGCTTTAAAGAAACAGTCGAATTAAACTGGAGGCCATCCATAATGTCATTTTGTAACACGATAAAAAAGTTGTATAAATCCCTTTGTTCTTCTAACACCACCTGTCCCAACCCCCTCCCCACCTTCCCGAACTTTCAGACTCTATGAATGTCCCACTAACAGTCTCCCCAACCGGAACTGAACACGTGATGCACAAAAGGCAAGTTGCGCTTTGGCAAGCGGGAAATCGGACGATTCTCTGAGCTTTTCTGAGGTAGTGAGTCTCTCCTTCTAGTTATTCTAATGGTTAAGAAATGTCCTGGGAGCTGAATTAAGAGACCAATGGAGTGTTGGTCACTGTACTTAAATGCTACTCTAAAAGGGGTGGTTTATATGATCATGTGATTCCCATAGACCCCAAAAATTTCTTCAGTCAAATTCTGATTGTTAATGTGGAGAACTTAAAGATATCGAGGCTGCTGTTTGATAAGAGTAAGCCACCATGTCTAAAAAAGTGACTGTTACACAGTTAGGAACTCAATAAATGTTTGATGACTTACTGAATGTTTAAGCTCTCTGATTTAGCTCAGTGAGATTACAAGCAAAAGCAAACATTAACAGACCTAACCAACTGTAGGCTGATATCCTCAAGGCTGGATAATGTTCACTTGTGCATAGAATTTGAGACACATTTCAAACTATGAGAGGATTAAGTTCAAATGGCATTGGGCATGGTAGAGTTTACAGTTCTATATTGACTCCATTTATCAGATGCCCTCTCACTTCCATCATGATTTTACTGTAATGATGTGGCTGTGAGATTTCTATCCATAAATAACTTTTCTGAAGACAGAGTGATCCACTCTCTCTGTTGTTCTTCAAGCTTCTCTGCCAAGCACTTAATCAAGATAGGGTCCACCTTAGAATCAAATTTATTAGCAAACCAATGTCTATCTTTTATAAGCCACCTTAATTCTGCGGCTCCATATATACAGACGCTTCGGAGGTGAGAGCCAGTACAACTGGGATAGAAAAAGCCTTCGTAATAATTCCATTTGACAAGGCGGGTCTTACTCTGTAGGTCAGACACATCTTGGGCTGATCTGGGAATCTCCCCAGGTATTCCTGGTACCCGAATCAAGGTAGCCCAGAAGTGTTCATCAGGAGAATACGTGTCTCTAGACCATGCAAAAAAGTCTTCAATGAGGGAGTTGTTGAAAATATAGCTAACGAATGCTCGACTTAAAACAAAATAAGCGCTGCCCACGAATATCTGAATGTTATGAGGGGGCGCTTCCTTGGAGATATTGGTCCTTATTGGCAGCTTCACATATTCATAAGGCACCCGTCTGAGTTCGTGGTGATAAGTGAATCTTTCCATTTTACTGTTAGGGGGTTTCACTGTTTCCAACATATTTGCTCCATTGAGTTTCTTCAGTTCTGACACTAATTCAAAGTTTGACTTCAGGGGAAAATCTTGCCCACACAGGTTGATAACGTATTTCCACTGAACGGAAGACTTCAGAAGGTCTGCCAAGCAATTTAAATCAGCTTGGAGTCTGGAGATGTGGGCATATTCCACAGTCTCTAATTTGGATGCAATGAAAATATTGGAGAAGCACTGAGCTAAATTGTTCATGGCGACTTTGAAGCTATCAGGTGACTTGCGGTCATAATGGATGCAGTAGATATTGTGCTGGTTGTATATAGCAAGGATGAGCCTTTCAACCATAATTGCATCTTTGTGGACAACCAAAGAATACGCTAGCGGGAAGCTTTTCTCCTCCCTGGACACGGGCTTTTGAGAGTACCTTCTCAGAGTCTGATAGATGTCACAATCGCTGGTCATTGCCACGACATCATCATCCTCCAAGTCGATGATGTCTCTTCTTCTTATTTCCAGACTCTTGCCAATTTCCAAAGGCTCCTGTTCATAGATACCTGAACAGTTAACTTCATACCTGACTTCGTCATTCACATGAGTGTATCTGTTTCTTACAAAAGGTGAGGTACTTAAGGAGTACTCCACCAAGTAAATGTCTCTTTGCGGGAACAGGAGTCTTGTCACGTTTAGCAGCTTTAACAAGGAGAACAGCCATAGGGTTAAAAACAGGATGAAAACTTTCTGCTGTAGGGGATATTTAAAACAACATTTGAATATCTTCATTCTGTAAGAGAAGAAAAATAACTCGGCTGAAATATTAAGAGAAAATTAGCTCAGTGTATCTAACATTTACTGGGCTCCTGCCATATGCCAGGCAAAATGGTGGGCCCAAGGATGAATTAAAACAAGGGTTTGCCCTTGGAAGAATCCAGAAATAAGAAAATAGAAGCACGAAGAATCGCGATATTTTGTGGTATTGATGACAATACCTAATTTTGAGAGATGCCAGTCACCAAGTAGAATGAAAGACAATGTAAACCCCTAAACTATAAGTATCATGTTTCTGATATTGTCTGCATTCTGTTTAGCATATTTGAGGAGGGATCACGCTGGCTGGGGCCGAGGTCTAGCGATTTGGATGTTACAAGAGGTCCTCACAGATGCGAAGGACTCCCCTGAGGCCAAAGGGAACCTCTGTCTTGATTCTTCTTTCAGATCCTGAATAGACCCAGGTCTGAAGTCAGATGGGGAAAGTCCCATGGCTCGCACCTTAACAACAGCAGGCAAACACCCAAGGGAGCTACAGTAGGTATCAGCAACTGCCAAATGTGCACAGATTATAAAATTCGAGCAAACCTGCACATTTCTCCTTTGTATTGTTGTTAGTCCCCATCATGAGCAAGTTAGCCCTTAAAATGAAAAGGGTGTAACTCTCACTGAGAGAAGTAGGTGGGGGTGTGAAAACTATCCCTGGGGGGCACTCTGGCAATACCTGTCAGTTTTAAATATCCCCTCCCTGAAGATCTCACACGTGTGTGTGCAAAGACACGCCAGAGGTGGTTCCCTGCAGCGTTTTGTGCTTAGGCTAGTGACAGAAAATATCTCAAACATCCTTCCACAGGGTGTTAGGTTATACCCATGCTATGAGAAAAAGCCTAAGACCAATCTGTATGTGCCAGTGGAGCCCAACCACTAAGACATTCTGTGAAACAGAAGTTAGCAAAATGCGGAGCTGTGTATAGCCTGCTTACATGTATCTGGTCATGCAGAGCACATGCTGGAAAAAGCTTTTTCTTAGAAAACCAGGTAGTAAACATTTCTGGCTCTGCGGGCCATAGTGTCTCTGTCACAGCTGCTTGGCTCTGCCATCTGTGGTGGGAAAGCAGCTGCAGATCACGTGAAAATAAGTGAGCGTAGCTGTGTGCCCATAAAACTGTGTTTACAAAAACAGGCATCTGGCAGGGTTTGGGCCCCCAGCTAGTGTTTCCAGAAGGATGCGGTGTACACACAGACAGGACGTGCTTTGCAGGGTGGGGTGGGAGAGAACTGAACGGGTAGGAGGGCATTTACGTATTCCTAGATAGCCTTGAGTGCTATCTGAATTTGTAAAAAACGATGACATTTCTTTTTCAGACAAAAACAGGGTAACCAGGGGTAGGTCACGGATGTGCTTACTGGGAGCAGCAAGAAAGCTGGCCTAGGAAGGACTAACCCGAGGGCTGGCAGCGCTTGTGGGGCTGCTTTCGGAGGGCCAAATCCTGAGAACGGCTGGGGCCTAAGCAGCCCGTGTGCAATTCCCTGACATATCTCAAGACATCTCAAATGGGGTGTGGTCATTGTGCCCACTTTCATTTGAGGGGATTAGCAAGAAGTGGGAATCCAGTCTATTTCTGCAGGTTTTCTTCTGTACAGATCACCGGGCCAAGCTCTCTCCTCGACTGATCCCACCCTTCCTCACGCCCCTCCAGTGAAAACCATTCTCATCTCAAGAACGACGCCTCCGCGACCGTGAGCCGCACCAGAGGACCTCTCCTCGCCCACCACACCTCGTCTCCTCTCCGTGGGCGGGCCAGGGTTCTGCCCTCCCTCGCATCTCTTCTCACGCACACTCGCCCTTGCGCTCCAGATCCCACTTCCCACACCGATGCCGTTCCACATCCCAGGGCCGTTCACTCCGGTCCTCACCATTGGCCCAGCTGAGGGGCGAGCCTCCAGTTGCTGGCTGGTCTCCACCTGGACGCCCCCCAGGCACTCACCCTCCAGGAGTCCAAAACGGAGCCGGACGTCCTCAGCTGGCCTGCGTTTTCTATCTCGGCCCCTGGTGAGACCAACCACTCGCAGCCCTTGCCAGAAGCTTGAGCTACCCCACTCAAGGTTCCATTTCTCTTCCACCCGTGTTAGCCTGTCACCTCGGAAACGTGTCTTGAGCCCAGCCCTCTTCTCTATCCCCACAGCTGGGACCAGACAGCACCTACGCTTAATCCACCCTCGGGCCAAGGGACTCCCAGGTGGGCTCACGGTGCTGGGTTTCTCAACAGGCTTCGCTTTCTTTCCTCCAAAGCACACTGAGGAGGGTCCCATCCACTCAGGCTCAAGGCTGGGTTCCCGCCAGTTGTTATAAAGCTGTGGAAAACTGACCCCTGGTGTGTAAGGCAGCACCTGGCCACTCCAGAAGCCTGTGCATGATATAATCAGGTGTTGTAATAAACAAGACACAGAAGACTAATCAATACCAAGTGCATTTATGTATGAGTATGTGTGTGTATTGTCCTGCTTCATGGCTGTTAGTCATAAATAGGAAGCAGCCTATATAAATGGCAAGAACGAGAAAGGGTCTTACCCAAAGCCAAGTTTTGCTTTCTCTCATCTCACTTCGTGGGTCCCTGGGATCTCCGATCAGCATTAGTTAACAGTTGCCCCGATGCCCCAGTGGCGTAATGAAAAGACCTCACATCCCAAAGAGACTTGCCAAGGCTCTCAGAGTTGCCATGTCATTTCTAAGGCACCCTTTCACTGTCATCTTCACGTCTGCAGACGAAGACAGGGGCGGCTCCCCGTCCTGCAACCCATTTCCAGGGCCGCCTCCGCACCCAAGCACCCCACCCTTCCAGCCTGGGCCGGGAGAAGCTGAGCTAGGCGGGAGGCCACGGCTGTCTGCCAGAGAGCGAAGGTCACAAGGGCCCGGGGAAGAGAAAGGCAGAGGCGCACCGTGAGAGGTTCTCTGGGAACTAGCTCTGGGCCCCAGGTCTGAGAGAAAACAAATTCCAAGGGAGGACCCTGGATCGCCCGGTACCTCGCTTTGTGACCCACCCTCTTCCACCGGGGGCATCTCTCAGTGGGGAGCTTGTGTGTCTTGGGGCCAGCTTGGACATGCTTTGGAAGGAGCAGCCTCCAACACGACCCTGCCCAAGTCAAAATAGAGCCTCTTCATCTGCTCACCATGGCCAGAAATCCCTTTAACTGAAGAGTGAACCTTTCCCCAAGTTAGAAGGAAAAAGGTGTGAGGGTGCGAAGCCATTTGGCATGAACGAGTCTCTATCAAATCCTGAAGGGGGCGGTTGGCCTCTTCCTGGCCGTGGCAGGCACAGAGGCAGAGGGCCATGCCGGCGGGAGGGGAGGGAGGACCACAGGTCCCCAGCCTCTGCTCTGCCTTGGCTTTCCTCCGGAGAAAACCTGGAGGGTGACTGACACCCTCAGGCCCTCCCGGAGGGCTCTCCAGGGAACACCCTGGGCGCAGCACAGCCCGAGGGGCCGTGACGGTGGAGGTGCACCGCCTCCCTCTCCCGCCACGGCAGCTCAGGCCTGTGGAGACACCGGAGGCCCCCAGGCCTGGAAGGATGGGCACCGGCTTCTGAGGCCTGCCGAGTCGGCTGGGCTAGGCCGGCTGTCGGGTTGGCCCGCTGGTACCCAGGAGACCAGGTTGACAACACCCCCTTCTGCAAACATCACGCCTGCCTCTTTCCCTCTTGAGGCTTGCGTGCAGGAAGCAGACAGGTGTTCTGCTGCCAGGGCACGGTAGGACGATTACATTGTCAATAATGCCCCACCCAGAGGAGAAGGGCTATTTCCCCTCACATCTGCCCAGGCAGAGGAGGAAGCCCGACGTGTGGAGCTTATTGCCACCGATGTACAAGTTCTGCGTGATGATATAACCGGAAAAGAAAATGACAGCAAGGTTTGGTGGATATAGCCCGAGTGAAATCAGGTCTGTAATGATTCAGTAAAAACCTACTCCTCACTAAAGTGCCCACGGGGATGTTGAACGGAGCATTTCCCCCATGCTGCGTTTTTCTCCCCAACTTCCCCAGCCATCGCCAGGGCCTGAGGAAGCAGCTGCAGCACCAGGGTACCCACAGCTACGTGGGTGTCACGGCGTTCGGGGCTGAAGGGCTGCAGCCTCTAGCAGCTCTTCAACGGGCTCTTCTTGCCTGAGCGATTTCAAAGCCCAGGGAAGTGCAGACACTTCCTTCCCCGGGGAAGGAAGGGAAATGGCACGTCAAGAAATGGCAGGAGGAAGGAGACCAGGCAGCAGAGCAATGGACGTGGTTTGCCTCAGGCACCAAGAATCGCCCACCTGCGATTCTTTCCAGGAACTCGCAAAGGTCAAGGGCCACGGGGGAGGGAAAGCAAGTTAGGCTTTAGGATGCCACAGACCTTGCTGTGAGTCCCTGGAGGAACACTTAGCAGGCGATAAGACTTGAACCTAACGATTTAACCTCTCTGGATGCCAGTTTTCTGGTCTCAAAGTGCAGCTAGAAGTCCCCCTCCTAGTGCCGGGAGGGCTGTGGTGTTCAGCACAGCCTCGATGACTTTTCTTTTTCGGCGCCCAGCTTGACTGACTCAAGTCCTGGGGGTTTTCCAGTCCATGCTACAGGACTTGCTGGCTTTTTTCTTTTGGAAAGAATCCCCCAGAAAACTTTATGCCGGCGACGTTAAGGAAATGACAGCCCTTTACTTTCTGATAAGGAAGGACCAAGATGCAGGAGCTGAGACGCGCTCAGGTGCTGGGTAGGAAGAGGAGGCACGTGTGGTCCTGCAAAGACAAGTCCAGGCCCAGCCACCAGGCCCTCAGCTCAGAAGAGGCCCCTGCATTCAGCTGAGGGACAGCCTGCCTGGCGCCTGGACCCAGGCAGGTCCCTCGACCTCTCTGCATCTCTGTGTCCCCACGGACAAGATGACTTGGTGTTAATGATGGAAATACCTCGAAGGAACGGTGAGGGATGAATGCAGTAATACCTGCAAAGTGCTCTGGCCCCGCTCAGGACCATGAGCGCCTGGTGAATG